TGGGGGGGTGCAAGCCATGACGAATCAAGCCCACTGCGTGGACATCAACATTAATTTAAAGTATAATTAAGGTTGATTAGTGGTCATGGTAAAAAGATTAATAGCAATAAAATAGGAAAATCATGCCTCTACTTCATGCTTCGATGTTCACCATAGAAGATAATAAACAAGGAACCTTCGTTTTGCAGTACAATTTCTTTTTATATTATTTAGTACAGTATTTTAAAACCTATATTTTATCACACTAGGCTTACAGAGTCACATGTAAAAAGAATTCAAAACACATTCTTGATAGCATGCTAATGACTGTGACCTTTCTGCCCAAACACACTCAAAGTCACAATTTTTTTCATTCAGCTACACATCCTGAGAATACCACACGCCAACCAGTAAACCTAGAACACTCTTCGAGAAGTAGAAATAGTACTAATAATCAACCTTCTGCAAAAAGGAAACTGAAGCATCGAGGTTGAATAACCAACCCAAGACATACCGGAGGAATAAAGCCCAAAGCTAGGACTACCGTTGCAAAACGCCTGCTTCTTGCTGCCACAGTGACGCCACTGCCCTAAGCTACTTCCAAGAACAAAAGGGCAATGTATGAGATCCTTCCACTTACTACAGCCAGCTGAGGGGAGAGGGGGTTTACTTATTACTGCATTCAATACTCAGGTAGTAACAGTTTGAAACCACCTACTGCTGTGGTCCAATACTTTCTCTAAAACTCAGGATTCATGCTCTTCATTTGCTGGGAGTGAGGTCTTACAAAAATTAGCACCCCCTCCCACACTTGCCCATTTGTCTCCAATTCCATCAGATCCTTTAGCATCTTCACAAAGTCCCAAAACATCCTCCAACCTGACTGGGGAAAAGCGAGCTCAGGTTAAATGACAGTATCACTGGAGCGTCCACTGCAAATGTCTTTTAGCACGGGCTGGGATTTAAAATCAGTGGGACTGGGGTGGGGGGAGACAGCAATCACTGAGTTCTCAAAGCCAGCAGCTGCTCATTTATAGTTCATGCCCCATGAATTTTATCTTTACAATGTATTTACTCAAACCAGTCACAAGTGGTGTTCCCTGGTGCTCAGTTCTGGGGCCAGGTCTGTTTAATATCTTTATCAGTGATCTGGACCTGGATCGAGTGCTCCCTCAGTAAGTTTGCAGATGACACCAAGTTGGGTGGGAGTGTTGATCTGCCTGAGGGTAGGAGAGCCCTGCATTGGCACCTGGACAGGCTGGATCCATCGGCCAAGGCCAACTGTAGGAGGTGCAACAAGGCCAAGTGCTGGGTCCTGCACTTGGGTCACAACAACCCCAGGAAGCCCTACAGGCTTGGGATGAGTGGCTGAAAAGCCGCCTGGTGGAAAAGGACCTGGGAGTGTTGGTCAACAGCAGCTAAATATGAGCCAGCAGTGTGCCCAGGTGGCCAAAGAGGTCAATGGCATCCTGGTCTGCATCAGGACCGGTGTGGCCAGCAGGCTGATGAGTCTTGTGTCCAGTCAGATTTTTTATAGCCACAAAGTTGCCTCTCTGGCAACCTGTTGAGTATTTGTCCACCCCCACAGTAAAAACCTTTTTTATTTTTGCTTAAACGGAATTTCCTGTATGAACATGCCACTCAAGTGTACACACTTTTTTTTTATATCTGAATTTTTTATCCTTTACACTTCAGGTTTTCTCTTCCTAGCACAGTTAGGGAAATAGAGACATGTAGGTGCTGCATTCACTATTTTAAAAAAAATTTCTTTGCCTAAATTGTTCGGATAGCTTGAAATGCACAGCAGCATAACTGCCATCTCTTTGGCTAGATATTAAGGACTCTGCCTTTCTAGCACAGATGAAATTACCTTTCCTTAGAAATTTCCTTTCTTTAGAAAAGGACCTGCCAGCCCTGATGGACATCAAGTTGAACATGATCCACCAACATGCCCTTGATGCAAAGAAGGTGAATGGTGTCCTGCGCTGTGTTAGAAGTGCTTCCACCAGGTCAAGGGAAGTGATCCTTCCCCTCTGCTCAGCACTGGTGAGGCCATACCTGGAGTGCTGGGTCTGGTGCTGGGCTCCCCAGTACGACAGACATGGACATACTGGAGAGAGTCCAGCAAAGGGCCACAAGCATGATCAAGGGACTGGAGCATCTCTCATGTGAGGCAAGGCTGGAAGAGCTAGAACTGTTCAACCTGGAGAAGTCTCAGGGGGATCTTATCAATGTATGTAAATAGCTGAAGGGAAGGTATGAAGAGGACAGAGCAAGGCTCCTTTCCGTGATGCCCACTGACAGGACCAGAGGCAACGAAACCCAGGAGGTTCCCTCTGAACATCAGGAAACACTTTTTCATTGTGAGGGGGACCAAGCACTGGCACAGGTTGCCCAGGGAGGCTGTGGAGTCTCCATTCTTCAGGATATTCAAAAGCCAGCTGAACACGGTCCTGGACAACTGGCTCTAGGTGGCCCTGCTTGCGCCAGCGGGGAGAGGGTTGGGCTAGATGACCTCCAGAGGTTCCTTTCAAAGTCAGCCATTCTGTGATTCTCAGATCCCAATCTCTTTATTTTAACTCCGTCTTCCAACAGGCTAGGAATATGCCACAGTTACTCTACAGCAGTATTACTCCCTCCCTCCTCAACACAAGCGTAGTGAGATGCAATAGCTCTGGTAACGTATGAAGCATTCTCTAATAGCACAGAAGGGGGAAACAACGCATTTCTTTGCAAGACAACCTGATAGACAACCATGACACCACTTGAGCACCAGATCTTTTTTTCTTTCTTGAGTGAGTACCTGTACGCACTACTACTTTTTTCAGATATTGCTCAACCACTACTCTCTGTGACACAATGAGGTCTATATTCAAAACTCCCACTCAAATGAGCACTTAGGGGTTGTACTTGCCTCTGGAAGTAGCAGCACTTGACTGCACCTGCTACCACTACCACTAATACCACCACAGTAAATGTGTGCCTGTCTTTTCCACATACATCAGCCACTCATCAAACATTCAAAGAATACTTCAAACACAGCAATAATACTTCTGCAAATTTACAGCGCTCAGAATGCCAAGCAACAGACAAAGGTTAAGCCAGAAGTGCCTGCCACTGTTTAGGTGCCTAAAAATAAACAGGCAAGGCTTTCCACATACCAATGCCATGACAAACCATTCTCTCTGCGCTTCAGTGAGAACATGTCACAAAGAAGTTGGTATATTCTAGGGGGGGATCAAAGACCATTTTGTTCTGCATACGGCATCTAATCAACTTGAATTTTTGCCACCTTATTCTTTTTTTTTTAATGGTTGTGCAGAGAAAAATCTGGCACACCTTATGGGGACACATTGGTAATTCAAGGTAGAGCACCTCAAAAAAAAATTCCGTTAATTTTGCATTTTAAATTAATTAAATACCCAAATCTGCAATTACATTGTAAAAACACTCTTCATGCACTGAGCACCACCAAATCAGCTAAACTGTTCTGTTATCTCCCGCCTTCTACCTTGCTGTCACTGCAGGTATTTCTAGATGACACTCTGATGATCAGAAAGAAAGACAACATGGTTGACAGCACAATATAACGAGTCCTTTCCCTCCCACTTTAAGGCAAGGTTAGCATGTTGCAATACACAGGGATTCCATGACTGTGCTGACAAAAAGCAAGAAGATGCACATCAGACAGACGATGTATGGTGTGCTGTTTCAGTTAAGAAACATAACCCCAGGAAACATGCAATTCTGATTTTTATTCCGTAACTCTTCAGACAGGAAAGGTAAGATTTCAGAACAGATCTCTAGGCTCTTGAACAGAGGTGCACGATGGCAGAAAAATGCTGAAGGTAACCTCCAAGAAAGCATAAACCTGAGAGGATGGAAAAGAAGACAGAACCGCATGCCTCTGTTCAATTTTGGTCTTTCACTCTTGCTTTGTCTGGAATAGGCTTTACAAAGCACTACTGTAACTCCACCTGAACAGGAGCGTGATGGACCTGAAGGAATCACAGAGGAGCTGTGGGGAGCTCCATGCCATTCCTTTTTGATAGTACATCTGCTACGGCCAAGTTACTCATGCAAGAAACCACAACTGTGCTTATAATTTGCTTCAGTGTTTCTTTAAGGTCCCTTCCAACCCAAACCATTCTATGATATGCTACTTCTATCAACTTCATGATAACATTCCATTATTTTTCCTAAAAGACACTAAATAAGACAGAGACGGATAATTTCCTTATTTGTATGCAAAGCATGTCTCTCTCCCCAGCTTATTTATTTTTTTTACTATCACAGGAAAACACTTTTTATAACAGCATTTAAGCCTTCAATACCACTTAACTCTCTCTCTGCACTATGGCTTGTCTGAATAACCTCGATAGATACAACGCATTTGCCTACCAAATGTCTCTTTCTCCTCCAAAGTCCATGGCTTAAACTTAATTAACACTACAGAATCACTCTTCGCTGACACTGAACTATTGTCACGGGACATCTACATCTACCACTGGAAGCAGTAACATGTATTACTTGCCATGGCGTACTTTGCCAAATCCAGTTTCCAAATTGCTCCTACAGTGCAGCCCCTCCATCCCCAAACTAAAGCATCCTCCCCAGTCTAGTTGGGAATCAGAAGGGAGGCTCAGATTTTTAAGCACAACAGCGATGTACCCCTACCTGACATGGAGTTCCTGCGTTAAGCAGGACACTGGGAACTTGCAAGCCTCAGTTTCTTGAGTCTGAAGTTGGATTAACTCTACTGACCACTGTCAAAGCACTGTGGTGCGTGCATTTATGAGCTCCGTTAAATAGTTTTCAAACTATTTATGTGAAGTCCTCAATGAGTGCAATATACTCAGTCCTCACTAAAGCAGCCCTTCCAGACTTCAAACTTGAGAGTTGTGTGTTCAAAAAGCAGTTTAATTTCTAGTTACATTTAACCAATGCAATACAAAAATAATACTGCTATTTACATACGCTGGCTATTTGAAGATTTGTGCCCCTACCTGTACCACTTGTAACCTTCCCTCATTCATCTACTACAGTTACCTAATTACTTTTGCTGCTCTTTTCCAAAATCCCTCTATTCTTTGAAGTAGTTAGGCACAAAAAAATTGAATAGAATTGCCTGGCAGTAGGCACACTAAACTAATTTGCTTCCTAAAGGGTAATTTTTGCAGTAAGATTCCTCGGTCTCTCATTGTCACTCATGTTTTCTCCCTCTTTATTTCCTTCCTAGTTCTATTCCCCCTCAGATCCTTTGCAACATTAATGTTAACAATTATGCATAATTCAGTGGCATTAATAATTTCTGTTATGCTAAACCTCATAGGCTCATTTCAGTTTGAGGATTGCTCCATGCTGTGTAAAAATAGAAATCCACTAGCCCAAAGACCTTGGCATTCAATTGAGACAACATGCAACAAACAAGAAGAAAAAAAAATTCTCAGCTCACAAGGACAGACGAGATGAAAATACAAATATGGGTATGAAAAAAAAAAACAGGTCGATGCATAGCAAGAGGGCTTTGAGTCAGCACTGGATTTTATTTTTTTAATAATGTAACACACCTAAGTGAATTGAAAAGATTAGTGTTTTCACTCTCTCTCTTGGTAGCTAGAGAGAGAATGTAAAGGCCAGCATAGCAGTTTTATGGGCCAGTAGTATGCAGCGTAGCCAATATATGTTCCGCGGGACTGGAACACAGTGATGGTTAAGAGACGGCCAAAGCTGTTACTAACATACACGGAGCACAGCACTGCTGCAACCATAAAACATCACAAAAATAATGAATTGGCAACGAGGTCTTGCTACTATACCCACCCAAAAGACAATTATGGAAGCCAGTAGAAGAGAGTTACTGATAGAATATATTTTCCCCAAGAAAGTCACAGAGCACCCAATGGACTAACTGGAGGAAGAGTTAATCCTGGTCTTGCTTCTTGCCAACACATGTGATGAAACAACAAAAGATTTATTCCATGATTAGAGACATGTTCTAGATGTCAGTACCTAACCACTTGAGATTATTTGTCAAAAATAATCCATGATTCCAAATCAAAAACAGGGGGTTCATGAGAGAGGTTCTTGCCAATAGCTTTGAAAACAGAAGCTTGATATGAAAGGTCTTTCATGCCTTACTAAAAATGCAAGTTGGGCAACTACAAATCAGTTGCCAGATTTGTAGATGACAAAAACCAAAAGGAAATTACAAGAAGAAATAGCCTCAAGTTGCATCAGGGAAGGTTTAGACTGGATATTAGGAAAAGCTTTAGTGAAAGAGTAGTCAGGCATTGGAACGGGCTGCCCAGGGAGGTGGTGGAGTCACCATCCCTGGAGGTGTTCAAGGAACGTGTAGACATGGTGCTTGAGGACATGGTCTAGTGGGTATGGTAGTGTTGGGCTGATGGCTGGACTGGATGATCTTATAGGTCTTTTCCAACCTCAGTGATTCTGTAAAAAGTGAGCCATCCACAGAGAAGCCAATTCAGCATGACAAAAGCACAAACAACTTGATTGCATCAGCGCATACAAGTGCCATTTATTATTCTTTAAAGTCAGGGGAGTCACTATCCCCCACCCACTTCATGTTCTACTGTATGTATCAAGCAGCATTACTGTTCCATACCCAGATACTGGGTTTGAGCTATGAGACACACTACGCCTGAAATTTCTTCGTTTACCCCTGAAATTTCTTTGCTTCTGCAATGCCAGAAGCAAGTCCTTTCTTACACTGTTGTAGGTACTGAAGCATAAGCTTTTCCCCTGCTGGAAAAGCATCTTGATGCAGACTCTTACTAAGAAGTCTGTACCTGTGTACCTGTACCTATATTGTCTGCATTTTCTTCACACAGGTTTTATGGACTGGTCAGTAGTAGTCTCATCAAAGAAATGGAATTTGCTTATTGAGTCCCCAGTTCCCACTTTGATCATTCCAATAATTAAGCCAAATCAGCAGGACTCAGAGCAAGTGGATCAGGGTGGGGGTAGTGAAAGGAGGATGGCTGTGCAACAGATGAGGAAAAACAAGAGAGAAGCATGTATTTGCTAGGCCTCCACATATCATAATTAAAAACAATTTCAAAATTTATTCATTTTACTCATGAAAAGTACATTTTAAGATTAAAAAAATGTCATTCACAAAACTTTAGAAGGTACTTATTCACACTGGAAACTGTATTTAAGAAAAATTAGGAAAAAAATTGCTTCAGGGAAAAAGAAACATTGATCAAACTTTTATAGCTGCAGCTTGCCGTAATGAGAACATGATCCCTTATAATAGAGCCAGAGATGATAAACAGCTGCAGTGCCAACGTAGCACTCGTTAGTTCAGACGCAGAACAAAGGCACTGTAACTGGTGTACAGCATCTTTGTACTCCCAACAATGGTGCGCTGCTCCTCCTAGCACAGGGGCAAGTTACACACAGACACAGCATTGTGCTTTGTTCCGACAGCCACGCACCACGGGGGACCAAGGGGTGCAGAAACGGACATTGTAAACACAGAAACAGTACAACCCTAGCCACCCTCACCGCTGGCGAGGCCCAGACAACAGCACTGCCTTTGGGAAAGCACGCTGTGCTTGCAGCGTCACACGCTGTTCTGATGTGTATGCTGAAGGAGGCCTAGACAAATGCCACTCAAATCAACGGACGTGAAGTGAGACCAGAGTGAGTCTAAACTATAAAGCAGCACTTCAATACACAACGTACTTGAAATTTAATGTGAATACCTAAAACACCATATTGTTTGGTCCATTAAGGTCTACATCCTCACCTAGCAATGACCAAATACTTCTGGGCTTAAACAGAAAAGCAAATCCCACAGGACTATTGGATAATGCACCACGCTGTACACAGAAGTAAGTATCTGCATCACCAGGATTCAACTTACACCCTGAGACAGAAGAGACAGAGTCCTAACATCTTGACATTTCATTAATGAAATGCAGCAAGTTTTTTTACTCTTATTTGGCACTGAAAAAGACTGGCAGAGAATTTATTCTTCACATATTTTGCAAATAAAGCTATTCTAAAATAAACATGCTGCTCAAGGATGTATCAGAATATGTTTCATAGACTTGTGTAACATTCGTCTAGTTTTTCCCCACACTTCCAGCTTGCTGTTATCCCACCAAATGGGATAACTAACTTCCCACCCAAACTGACAGCTAACTTCCCAACAATACAACTCTTGGGTTAGTTTTGCACGTCAGCAAAACCAAGATATCACACACTTGCTCATTTCCTGTCAGTCAGTCTGCTGTGGGCCCAACAGCTCCCAGGCTCTCTGCCATGGCATCAAGAATCTGGAAGTCCACATTCCAGCAACAACCTCAAAGCTCAAGGCTTCCTGCATCAGGTGGGGAGATGGGGAAGATGGCAGAATTCCCTGGGCTTCTGGTCAAGGTGTGGCAACCCTAGGACAGAAGATTTTTCAGTGGGGACTTCCCTCAAGACAGGCAGATGCTCCATTTGAGAAAAGCCAAAATAAAAATGCTGTGGAATTTTCTTTCAGAGGGAAGTGTAAGATTATAAAAACATAGTTTTCATACTGAATCTCAGCACAAGGGTTTTCTTAATGCTGCTGTTTCCCACAGAAAGAAGATGCCGTATCTTGAGCAACTTTAACTGTAACTCGTATCCTGCTAGGAGCAATTACTTCCTAGCATGTAACCAATTACAGGAAGATACATCAGGATTGTATCTGGATCTTGTTGCCATTAAAACAATACAGTAAATTAAAAAAGAAATTATTTACTGTGACATAAGCATCAAGAGTTTCATGGCTTGAACTGCTACTTCATGGTCCTTGTCCAGAGGCATGGACACAATTCGATCCTAATGGATGTAAAATGACAATAAAAAGATGTAACATGGTTTGTTCTCAATAAACATATTTTTGCTACAGCTAGATCATCTACACTAGTAGAGCAGAAATTTATTTTTATTTCGGCAGCTATTTCCTAAGAGACATAAGGCAACTTGATTACTACCAAGTAGTTCCCCAGCCCCTGAAAATTAACAGCATGTTAATTTTTTAACTGAATTAATCATGCAGTAATAGGGTATTTTTTATAGATGTAACGTATGCGTTCACAAGAAATCAGCTACAGTCTACAAATTAAAAGTGACTGACAACTTGTTTCTAAGATGTTACTACTGGCACTTCAGTATGTTAAATGAAGGTAAGCCCCAAATTACAAGCATTACATAATCATTTTCTCCCATCAAGAATAAAGTGTGTGTACCTACACATCACAGCAGCCACTCCCTTGCTAGAAAGGCAATTAGGACTGGAGTCAGAAAGGTACTTCATGGAATAGCAGCAGTATTCCTGACCTCCAGGATTCAAACTATTGTAACCTGGTACGCATGCAAACACCTCAACACAGTGGAAATCTTCCTGTCCCATGTACCCAACAACTCGCACTCCTCAGTGCGGCCTACATCTTTAAGGTATATTAAACCATTGGACTTGCCTGTTTTGGAACTAACAGCTTTCTCACTTAACGTATCATTTCTAAATCTCTAGATTCATCTCACTTTGCACCTTCCTTTTTCTCACAACCCAGCTGCAAGGTGAAGTCCAGGAATCTGGAGTTTGATATTCAAGGGTAACAGAGGGAAGCTTGTGGGAAATGGATTGACAGCTATATAATTACATTTCCCACCACTGAGAAACCACGATTTTTGGAAGACTCCAGATCAGAGTGTATTTTGTATGAAGCTCTTTGAGTTTCTTTTGTTTAGGAAGGAAGGTGGTGTCATGTTTGGGCTGTTTTTTTTTAACTGGGGGGATGGAATTTGCAATAACCCACTTATACAGCATCCTCCATGCAGAGGGAGATCGCAGTACAGACAGACGGGAGCTATTCCATCAGTCTGTGAGTACCAACCCTGCAGCTGGTTACACAGCTTACAGCAACCTTCCTTTAACCAGACAGATCAAGAACTACCACAAAACTGTTCAAACAGGGGTCAATCTTAGATAGCCAAGTTTCAGTCTGAATAATTTATTCTGAAGATACCAGTATTAATCTATTTCTTGTTCTTTGAGGATGTGCCATAGGTATTTTTTACTATTAGCAACTGCTTTGACATACAGGTAAGTCCTGCATCTGTTGCAAAAAGAACATGAATTACTACATCATCCAGGCATTGATTATGTACTGATTCAGAGGGACTGAGATATCAATCACAGCACTTTGAGTTTTCTTACTGAAATACCGAAAAGGCCCAGCCCCACTGGGATAAAAGTAGCTGATGAAATCACTACCAAGGGCAGGATTAAAAAAGTAGAAGGGTTACTACTTAAATTAGTCAGGATGTTGGAATATGATAAAGGCAGTGTACAGGGTCAGTGCGGTCACAGAACAAGCTCTCAAAAGTTCAGCGTATCCTCTGACTTGTTCAGAGAGGAGATAAGGGATCCTTCTTCAAGATTCACACTGCCATGGTGGATCAAGAGAGCCATTCCCACATCAGTGGCATACACGGTCAGCCAACCCAGTATCTACAAGGTCAACCCATTATCAGGAGCAGCAAAAAAAAGGGACCTTCAGAGTATGAAATTCTTTGTCATGTGCCAAAGATCCTGTAAAAAAGATCTGGGCCATTCTGGATGAATGGTGGATAACTGACCACAGTGCACACTAACACCATTTTGTGCGTGAACTAAAGTGAAACAGAAAATTCCACAGGAACAGAGGGAAACACCTCTGCAAAACTCCTTTGTCCACTCAGTCAAGCAGGCTGTTTCTGCAGTACTCTAAGCTGCTGTCAGTCAAGAGAGTGGGGAGATCAGCTCTGATCAAAACCATGAAAACCTGTGTATACACCCAACCCAGACTTTAAAAATACCAAGCAGTAATCTATTTACCTTGAATCTGCTGGTAAAGAGATCCATCCTGGAAACAAGTTCTTTTCTGCTATAAATTCCCTGCAGTCCCAGAAGACACTTCAACCGCACTTCAGCTTGCTATAAGACAAAGAGAAATCAGCTAACAGTAAAAAACGTTTATCTCTGATGTTATTTGCTATTGGCATTTACAGTAATTAGAGTTCTTTGTGGGTGCCTACAGCAGACTGCCCGGATACTGCCTCATCGTCCTTATTAGTGACATCAGTACCATTTTGTCTGTGGGCACACACGTGCATCTCTCACACACACACACAGAGGAAGCCTGCTGAGTCAAACTTCAAGGTGACAAACTTCCAGTTTGCATTAGGCTCCGTGAGAGACACAGAAACTCTCACAAACTTTACAGTTAATAAAAGCAACACAGTGCAAAAGATGCAGGAATTGTGTTGTTCAGCAGTCAAAGATAAACAAAGCCAAGAGTATGGATGACCTACTTAATACAACCAGCGCTCTTCCATACGTCAGACTTTGTTTGCTTCCTTTCAACATTTGACTCGGACAATCATTAAACATGAAGAAGGACTCCAAGATATTCTGGTCCAGCAAAAATTCCCAGAGACAGAGCTAAAACTCAGAAATGCACCAGCTTACTACCCCCATGGTTCTCACAGAGAGAGAGTCAAATATTAGTTACGCCCTCTCCCTGTTTCTGTTTTACACCAGAATGCTATATTTTAAGCACTCTAAGAAGAAAAGGATTGCTTTGAATTTGGCCTAAATAGTTAATACAGACAAAACACCTACAAGGTGTTATTTCATACTATTATTAATGCTGCTTTGTAGATGCCTCAAAAAGAGGACTTTTCATTATCCAGCTTTGAAATTAATCTCATGCATGTTGCTAAACCTTTCAAATTACAAAGCTTTAAATGTCATTAGGAAAGTCATTTTGAGGATCTAACATAGAAAAAAAATCACTATGCTCTACAAACATATAATGCTAAGGATATCAGCAGAGGCAGTTAAATGAACTGCAGGTTTTGAATCAGTCTCTTTGTATTTCTTCCTTGATTCCTCTTGCTAACAATAGCAGTAAGAATAATCAAGGAAACCCAAGAAAGGAGACCACCTACACACAGGCTATCCATTACTACAAGTTCCTGTTCAGCTGCTTAGATGGAAAGCAAAGGATGATATCCAGTAGCAGGCTTTGACCAGCAGTTTTGCATGAGGCAGCTTTTTGCTAGAAATATAAAGTGAAAGATCAACAGGTGCCAATGAGCACTGCTCTCTCATCTGCCCGTGACACACCAGCAGCACATATTCTGTGCTGTACTTGAGAATTAAAGGTGTTGTCTGAGAATGAACTTGTTGACCCCCACCTGCTGCTTCCTACAGCCACAAAGGCTCCACAGCACAGCACGCACTCACAAAGAGTCCCAGCTTGGTGCCCATCGCTGCACACCGGGCACAAACTCAGTGCAGGCTGTAGTGCCATTCGGGCTGCAGCTGCCCTCACCATTTTATCACAAGCCTTTTCTTGTGAATAGGGACTGCATTTGTGCTTGGGGAAAAGGGGAAGAAAAAAAAAAAAGAAAACGTTTGTGACAGTTTGTTGGTCGGTCATGTTGGTCATATAGCCCTTGGCATGCGGCTAGTATTGCATTTGTCAGTCAGGTGGCATTCAAGCGTAGGTCTGCAGTTGCGGAGTTTAATACGTTCAACTACAGCACCTGCCTTCTACGGTATCCTGTCCCTGCCCGAAAGCTCTCAGCCATAACCCTATATGTATTTGTTTCTTTTAAGTGTTGAGAAAATTAACTATAGCAACTAAGAACAAATAACTACTTCTACTATGACTAGTTCTGCTGCTTTCCTATGTTTTCCATTGCATTTTCTCCTTCTACCACCATTCCCTTTCTAGATCCATCACACTCCTCATAGCTTCTTGATCATTCAGAATTACCTCACATCCTTTTAAAACTCTCTGGCTACTTACACTCAGCTCCTTTTGGCAGTGATATAGGCACGTGCAAATACCCAGCCATCTACTCCCCTCGCCAGAACTACTGTTTTAATCTCGACAAAATACCTGCCTGTTCAGCCTTGCAAAGCTGTGGCAGAGCAAAGGGGAGTTATGTAAGCAGGTCATCAGGATACTCTGCATACACGCTGTCCCTCAGCTGCATTATAGCCTATTTCAACCCTGACGTGCCACAGACTGCCAGAAAACATCAGTGAGACATTGGGCAGCTCTAGTGACCTCAAAGAGCTCGGCGTGCGCTCCAGCACCGCTCCGCCGCATTCAGTTATAAGATTTCAGCCTCCCCACTATCACAGAGGTGGGGCCATTTCATAAGCCTTACCAATACAGCTGGGACCTGGATGATTTGATGTGGTCATTGAGGTGGTTTGGTTGGTTGGTTGGGGTTTTTTTTTGGTTTTTTTTTTCTTCCCTCCTCAATACTCCCCAAATAGTAAATTGTGAAAACTAGGTTTACATCTGAATTACTGCTGAATAGAGAAGACAATCCAGCTTACCTGTCCTGTTCAGGTAAAGCAATTTTTAAAAAGGCCCTCCCTCACAAAAGAAAAAAATCACCCAAACCACCCAGTACATACGCACGGAGATGACCTTAGAGCAGAAAACCACAATGTTAACATGACAATTGAAAGAAAGAAGTATTTCAGAAGTAGCCATAACCATAGGATCAGTTTCTATAGCCACGCTGAATGGGGCACAACACTAAAAACCCTTTCAATTTCCTGAAATTTGCCAGGAGCATCACATGGTCAGGCCATGAAAGTTCATTTCAACAGCAACTTCCTGGTTCCATAGAATGTCTTTGGGTGTTTTCCATAGTCCAATGAGAAAACCTCAACAACTTGTCCTGAAGTTCCAGTCAAAGCTCGTCTAACATGGTAGTAGATCCCAAGCATGCATCTCCATTGCCTCTACCTTCCTGTCTGCTCATCCTGCCTTCCACTTTCCCCATCCTTACTCTTCATTGTCTTGACTTTTCTGGTCTTTAACTCAACTTTTTACACAGCACTTCCCTTCAACACCTGCTGCTCATATCAGTCCTGGTTTGATTGGATCTGGATGCTGATTTACTAGCTCTATACTCCCTTGGAAGAACACTAGTGCCTCTGAGCGCGAGTTAGGCACCTGGGTTTCACGGATACACTCACAGGTGACCAGGCTGACATATAACATTGTTCAACTGCACACAGCTGTCAGATTTAGGATCAACTGTTGCTTGGTCTCCAAAAATAAAAAGTTAAATTATTTCTAGCAGATGAGCATAAACTACTCAAAAATGTATCTTTATAGCACTGATAGACCACTCTTACTGGGCCAAAGAGATCCTCATATGCCATTTTGAGCATATTACCCCTGAATTTCCTAGGTGCAAGAAGGATCTTAGTGCACCTAGGAAGTAACATTCACATAAAAAATATCATGTTTCATATCTGGGTATAATGGCAAAACAGTATCTCATGGGAAAGAATGAATGATTATATTAAAATAAAAGATTTGGAAGACAAAATGTTAATTTTATACTTACTTCCCCCTCCCCTCTCTGCTTTCGAGCCTCCCAAATACTAAACTTCATGTCTGTTTACAGCACTGCAGATGATCCTGGCCAGGTTTTCCCCCACCATTAGAATCCTTTTGTGGTTGTTCCACTCTGGGGCCTAAATGGTTTGGCAAACTTCTCTACGTTATATTCTAAAAGAGAATTGGCTCTGGGAGATATCGGTTTCTTGCCGCCTACCCCCAACAAGATGTGATGGAAATGCTTATGAGAGAGATGTACTGAGAAATAACATTCAGATGTATATAAAAGCACTGCTGCCCCTGTTGCTGCCAAAAATGCCCTGCTCTCATTTTGGAATCAGACAATATAACAGTGGCTGCAAATCACAAAGCACAGCTGGGACTGCAACCAGGAGCAGTGGCACACTACCAGGTCTCAGTCAAATGTGGAATATGGGAGACTTCATCTCACTTTATCTCACTCTGCTTGCATCTACATTGCTTTCAGTAAATAAGACAACTATTTCCAGTTCCTAATAAGTGACATTGGATGAGCTACATGCATTAATCAGAGACACCAGCTGTTAATCTTCACCATACAGCACTGGGAAGGAAGACCTATCTTCAAAAATGTCTTTTTCTTTTGAGAATTATCCCAACTGAACATACACTAAAAAGATATTCTGATCTGATAAAATTTATGCAGGCAAAGATGAGAGTTCTTGGTAAGATTTGTTCTTCTAAAAATCTAAATACTACCTTCACAGTAACGGCAGAAAACAGGGAAATAAGAGGCTTTGTGCTCCCCCTCCTGGCTTTGTGGTAATCTGCAATTTTATTCACAGAACACAAAAATTACCTAAAGCTGACACAAAACTGAGGACGTTTCAGAATTGGAAGCAGCCTGCAAAGTACAGTATGCCAATTCTGGTAATTAGCCATTCACAATAAATATTCCTATCACTTAAAATCTCATGGATTTTAGAAATACAAAAAAAAAAACCCACACACCACACCATATTTTTGACTTACTGTTCTCTTTCGGTTGCTTTTGGTTGGGGTTTGGGTTTGTTGTTTTGGTTTTGCTTAAAGGATATAGGCCATTTTGCAATTTAGTAACAGTTCCCCAGTCAGCAGCACACAAGAATAACTGCACACACAGGCACACACACTGCTACAGAACAGGGAAAAATACGTTCTCTGTTATTTTGTGCTACAACGGCTTTAAAAAATAAAGCCTGAATTGGGGAAGAAAAATCTTTTTTTTTGGTACCACCAGAGTCATAAGTATCTACTCTCAGGAATTTAAACGTTAGGATTCTTTAGAAATAAAATAAAATTAAAATCCCATCTACTGTTACTGGTAAAAAAAAAAAAAAATTAAAACTTTACCTTATCATACAGCATCCACCCAATGTATTTTAAGTAGCTATCATTTAAAAAAGCATCTGGGTATGTTTTGATGCAGCTGCCAATTTCTTCAACACAAGTTGCTCGTATCTCAGGGATCACATCACTGTGAAATTATAAAATTGTAATATTAATACATTTTAAATGCCTAATATATGTTAATTGTTTTATTTGCAATATTTTTTCTGGAATTCCAGAAGCATGTATAATCCAAAATATTAACACCATTTTCATATTAATGCTCTAAGCTAGGCTTTCATTCAACAATCAGGCCACTTTTAGCTAGAAATGTTTCATGCAATAATTACTTCGTAATTCTAGATATCTTCTCATTCACAAAAGTACTGCTTTAT